TTCCTAAATAATCACACACAGTCTATCAGTTCTGTGCTGTTGCATTCATCCTGGAGTCCTCCTCCTGGAAACTACCATCTCACTGATTTGGATTTGTACTGACTGTTCTCTAGACCTGTTGTACAGCATTGCCCAGGGATGCCATTGCTTTTCTGCTTCAGATTCCCTGCCTACGTTTTAAGTTATTTCAAGTCTGAAAATGAATTTGTTTATGCTCATATAAATGATAGTTTAGCTGGTTATAAAAATCTCAGGTTAAAAACTAATTTAAAAGCATTGCTCAATTATCTCTGCACCCATGTTCAATTTCTCCCTTTCTTTGATTTCTCTTTCCAGAAAAGAGGAAACTAGTGGGAAAAAAATCTGTTTTGGAGTAAATTCTTTATCTTTATTTTTCAAGTTTGCCATTAAATTTTTTATTTGGGCTACCTTATTTTTAATTTTAAAGTCTTTCTTCAACTCTGTTTCCATAAAAAATGAAAGAATCATATTTTGTTTCTTGAATGTATTATCTTATTTTTTAAATTAAAATTTGATAGTTCTTTTTCTTTATTAGCCCAGTTTTCCTGGCTCTTTTCTTTTTTCTATTTGTTCTGTGTTATTTCTCCACATCACAGGAATTCCTCAAATATTAAATGATTTTTGGTTGGCTGTTAATATTTACCTGCAGGTTATTAAGATTTTTGGCCTGTGTGTGAGTGCGTGCTTGCTTGTGTGAGTGGTCGATTATTAGGTTTCACTGTAGTGATACCAGGCAAATCTAATAAAATGATCATCTTTTCTCTGGCATGAATCCTCTTAGTCTTCAGCCTGGGAGGAAAAGGTCTTGTTTCCAGCTTTCCAGGAATGAAGTAGGAGAATGGGATCTGCAGATTGACTTCAAGTTAACTTTAAGTTAACCTACCGTTATCTGTAACATGCCTGATGTTCTTGAGACAATCTGGATGAACTTGGTCAGAGAATAAACCTTTGGGGATGAGTGCATGGAGTTAGTCAACTGGCTGTTTGAGGTTGTGGAGGGAATCTTAGGGCACAATACCTCTGTACTGTGACCGTCAGTAAGTCCTCCTGTTTTCAGCATTGTGCCTCATGCTCCCCACCTCTGTCTTTCATGGCACCTAGAACCTTAAATCCTGAGTCTTTCTGGGGTTCTGTGCTGAGGCAAGGGGGGAAGGGATTATTTTATGTCTCATGGATTTTTCCATTTTGTGGGCACATTGTGGTAGCTTATTTCTGCCTTGCTGTACAAGTACCAATCCTCCATCTACTTTATGTCTTCCAAAATGTGTGGAAAATTTTTATTTACTGATAACTCCTTTCTCATTCTCTTTTTTCTTGGTAGTTATACTTTAAAAAATTACTTTACCATTAATTTAGTGCAGTTTTAAGAAGGAGAAGAGATAAATGCTTGTGGCTAATTGGTCATATTGAACTAGAAGTCTCTTTTGTTAATTTGTTGTTCTTTTTCAGAATTGAACATATCGTTGATTGGCTTAAGTCCATTGAATACCATTGGGTCTAAAGACGTACTGCTTTTGGCTTACCAGATAATTCTCATGTTTTTATACTTTTTATACGATATATATTTAGTAGCAGGCCTTTGGTGTTTCTTTCCTCTCATAATCTAATATTCAAGCACTTATCAAAATAAGGAACTATATACACATATAGTAAAGTTAACAAAATAGAACTATTGTTTGGGGATCAAGGCCACTCAGTAATAGCCTGAAGTGTTTGTCCATCAGTTAGGAAAGTTCACTTTGGGAGTACAAGGACAGCCTGGAGATGACAGTGTATAAGGTACAAAACTCATAGACATGCCCATTAAGGACTGTTGGTAGATCCAAGAGTTCACAACTGAAGTTGGCATGTGTTTCTCACCAACTGCCTTCATTTCCAGTGTGTCTATGTGTTTCCCTAGACTTCTAATTCAACTAAAATACAGCACATAATTATACTGGAAGAATGGGGACCTGGCACTGAGGGGGGTGTGGAAGGCGGGGAGAGGGTATAGGTAAATCTACCCTACACCCATTAAATAATTCAGTAATGTCCAAAATGAGTAAATCAAGAAATGGCAGTACTAACATATTTATTAATATGGAAGCAAATACCCAAAGAAATATGAAAAGTATTGGAAGTAGTTTACTCTGGGAGACAAAACTGAAAAGGAATGAGGGGTGGGTGTTTGCTACTTTTTATTATAAGTATTTGATGACAGACCAAATATACGTATTTATAGTGCATATAATTTGCAAGTGCCTCCATGCTTTGGTCATTTACAAATAAACCTGGTGTAAGGTCCTTAGCAGATACTCAGTGTATCCCTGGTAATTAATGGATGAAATGGTCACATTCTCTGGCCACTGGGTCAGGCTCAGGGCTTGCCTTCCAGCGGTTGGCATTCCTAGTGTAGGACTCAGGTCTTGATATTGATGCCATTGTTGCATGTCTGTGCTGAGGTTCTTCTCTGCCCCCTATCCCACCTGCAGCAAGACCAAGCTTGGCAGCGTTAGAGACATCTGCTGTAAGAAGGCGAGAGCTAAGGGAAGAGATGTAGTGAAGACCACTGATGGTTTATGGGGATGGCTGTTCCTATGGGACACATCAGACCCCTAATTCAGAGCTCAGTTTCTGGTGTTTCCAACCTATTATTTTGCCAAGTAAACATATGTTTGACTACCACCCACTATCATGATAATTTCATAAAAGACATATGTTAATGTAATTTAAGAATAAGATTAAGGATAGCCTCAGAATAGAGGACATCTCTTTTCAAGAAAGAAGAGTTGAAACTTCACACCATATGTGTACCCCACAATACACACACATGTGTAGTTTACTTTTTTTTTTTTTTTTGCATTTATCTTCAGATGGAGTGGGAGAGAGAGAGGAGGGAAGACAGAGAGAGAAACATCGATGTAAGAGAGACACATCGACTGGTCGCCATCCACACGACCCCAACCTGTGCCGAAGATAATCTGCAACCAAGGTACATGCCCTTAGCGGGAACTGAACCTAGGACTCTGGTCTGGGGGCCGACGGTCTAACTGCTGAGCCAAACCAGCCAGGGCTGTTTTTCTAATTTTCCTGAAGACCAGTGAACAATCATCACAGCTCAGCACCATTTCATGGAAGAGCATTGGAAAAAAACAAAACCAAAAAAACCACAAGAGGATTTGAAAAAGAAAACATGAGCAAAAGAAGCAGTTGGCCCTGCCCAGGACAGAGAGATTATCCTGCGGAGGAACTATCTGGGCTGGGTTCTGAAGGATGAAAAGAGCCCCAGCTAGTGGGGTTGCTAGAGCCTTGCCAACCATAAATCATCAGAAATTCATGGATGGTCTTAGTGAATCTGTGAGCCTCTTAATATTGTGTGCAAAATCTTGTATGTGTTTGCCGTAAGTGCATTTACATGGGGAAGAGTTTTCATAGCTATACGTTTAAAAGGCGAAGAACCACCAAAGAAAATGAAGCCTGGAGCTGTGCATAAATACATCTGAATGTACATGCTAAGCCGGGGAGTGCTGTATGAATGCAAGGAATGATTATGCTTGTCTGCAGGAGTCTTCTGCTTTGGGATACCGATCCTTAATGTTTACTGCCATCCTTTCCTGGCAACTCCATAGCTTCGGATCTATGGTTACTGGAAACTGCTCCTGGAATTTTAGAATTGGGGGCACTGAGGTTGGTGTGTGATCCTGCAGCACCAGGTGACTCAAGAGACTTTTAGGTTAATGACTAACTGGATTGGAAAGAGTGTTTTGTTTCACAAACATGAACATAATTCGTTCTTACTTACTTTTAAATTATAAATAATTATTCAGTAGTTTTCCCCCTCCTTCCTAAATAAGCTCTTGAAAACATTGCGTTAATGAAAAATAAAACTTAAAGCCCTGGCCAGTTTGGCTTAGCGGTTGGAGCATCAGCCTGCGGACCAGAGAGTACCAGGTTCGGTTCCTGCTAGGGGCATGTACCAAAAAAAAAAAAAAAAAAATAAATAAATAAATAAATCGTAAAAGCAGCCATGTGGTATTGGTATATAATGACTGAAGTATAAATGAGAGTCATAATTATTCCCAATTAGACATTGGAATGCCAACATAGGAACCCCAATCAACTCAACCCAGGCGAGGTGGCATCAAGTCTGAGACAGGGACAGGGCATGGGGTGGGAAGGGTTGACTTGAGGACCCCTGAGCGTCCTGGTTTTGTTGTGGGATGGGACAACTAAGGATAGATTTCTCATCTGTGGTGGGATCAGAGGAGGAAGGTCCTTACCTTCCCAGGCTCTGGGAGGAGAGAGAGCCCTGCCCAGGGAAAGATGTTCCTGAATAATGTTTCCCTGACGACTTGTGAGTCTTATCTACTCGAGAGCATACAGACAGCCTAGAAAAAGTCCTTCCCTTGTAAAAAGGTAACTCACTTGAGGGCATATCAGGGGCCAGTATCCCTTCCCCTGTGGCCTATAGAGGCCCCATGACCTGGCATAGTTTTCAGGTTGCCAGCCCTCCTCACTCCCTTAATTTTGTGCTGACTAAGTTATACCCTTATTTCCCATGGCCTCTCCAGAAACCTTTCCTATCCCTACCTTCACTTCTCACGGTTAACATGACTAGGGTTCCATGACTCAGTGGCTCTGCCATTAGCTCATAAATGAACCCGAGCTATGACAATACTGTGTTCCGAACATGAAGAGCAGTGAGTTAATGTCTGAACCACCTGACTTTCTGGGCTGGTCCTCCTGATGGTGTTATTTCCCCTTGATCCCTTCTCTTGCGATTGGGTGATAATGGTGCCTGGATCAAGGTGGGATTAGGAGGCATATCTGAGAAATGGCATGCCTGGTTGACCCGTTCATTGGGTGCACAGTCACATGTGACAGAGCCATGGTGAAATGTGCTAAACAGATCCCTTACTACCAGCTCATGGCAGTGGACTTTGACAGTCGGGTTTTATCTACCAGTATGTGCTCACTGGGAATTTTATTTTTTTTCCCAGCAGGCTCACTGGGGTTTTGAGTGAAGACGAGAACTGGCCGGAGCTGGGCTTTAGAATATTTGTCAGGCATTCCATTTGTGGGGGCCGAGAGGTGAGGAAAACCTGGAAACAGAAAGTTGTATGGAGACCACTCCTACAGTCCAGGGGAAAGTGGTGATGGACTGGGAGCAGGCAGGCTGTGGGCCAGTGGAATAGTGGGATTGGGAGGTGGGGGGGGGGCAGCAGTAGAGACCAGGTTCCTAGCAGGATGGTATGGGGGAGTTGGGAGGAGGGGCCAGTCAGCCACCTTGGGGTTGGGATCTCTCTATATTTTTAACCCAATTAAAATGGGGAACAATTTTATTTAATTTATTTAAAAAGAGAGAGAGAGTATAAGGGAGAGGTAGAGAGAGATAGAAACATCGATGAAAGAGAACATCAACTGGATGCCTCCTGCATGCTCCCCACTGTGGATCTGGCCCACAACCTGGGCATGTGCCCTGACTGGGAGTTGAACCAGCAACCTCTTGGTTCATGGGTTGACGCTCTACCACTGAGCCACACTGGCTGGGCGGGGTTGCGATATTTTGAACTTAGTTAATTGGAAGCATTATTAGAGAGGGAAGAGGGGAGACTGGATAGTGAGAGGAGGGAGAGAATGTTTTTGGGATGACTCATATTATTAGAGAATGTCTATTTGGAAGTGTCCAGCCATGTTAGGAGTATGCGAGTTGGGTTGGGGCTTCCTTGGCAAGAGAGCAGAGTGGAAATATAAGAGGACTAGGAACCAGGTTCCTGGGGGATGCCATGCAAACCCCGGGCAGGACAAGAGCCAGGGGGAAATCAGTCCTGCTGTGAGATCTAATGGTTTTCCTTGGATCTTCATCTGTAAGGACTAGCAACAACTGGGAATTGGGTCTGTAGACTCATTGTGACTCTTGTCTTCAGACTATGACAGGAAGCTGCTGTGCTGGTTAGGAGGCTCTGACCCTGAAACTGGGCAGATCTGCGTTCTAATCTCATTGCTGCTACTTCTAGCTGTAGAACCTTGGCTAATTCATTTAACCTTCTGAACATCAGTTTTCTTATCTGTCAAATGGGATAATAATAGGGCCTTTCTCACAGGTTCATGGAGCAGATATTTCCAGAGCCACTTTTGTGTGCTAAGCACCATGGGTTTGCAGAGATAAGATGTGACACGGTCCCTGCCCTCAAGCCACTCACTGCTATAGGGCAGAACACCAAGTGCAGTGACATGCAGGTGCTGCAGAGACTGGACCAGGGAACTGAGGAGCTCGTGAGTGAGTGGCCTAGACTTTGTATATTGGGGGCGGGGAGGGGAGACAGAAGAAGTTTTCTGCTTCCTGGAGAGGATGTTTCAGCTGGACTTGAAGAAAGGGTTGGAGTGAGTCCAGTACCTCTCAACACTGGTTGCATATGAGAAATCACCTGGGAGGCATGGCCTCTGCCATGGCCAATCAGGGGAGTGGGGGCAATGGGGGCATCGATATATATGTGTGTGTGTGTGTGTGTGTGTGTGTGTGTGTACACACACACTTATATGTATATATACTTATATTTAATGCTCACGTTAGGATATTTTTACAGACAGAGTGGGAGGGAGGGGGAGGGAGGGGGGAGAGAGAGATTAGGAGAGAGAGAGAGAGGGAGAGAGAGAGAGAGAGAGAGAGAGACATCGATGTGAGAGAGACACATCGACTGGTTGCCACCTGCACAGCCCCAACTGGGGACGGGGACGAACCGCAACCGAGGTACATGCCCTTGGCCAGAATCAAATCCAGGACTCTTTGGTCCGTGGGCCGATGCTCTAACCACTGAGACAACTGGCCAGGGCTTCATTGATATATTTTTGAGGCAACCTGCGTGGTTCTAATGTGCAACCAAGGTTGAAAACAACTGACTCAGCAGAAGAGTGGGGGAGCCTAGGGGACAGATAGGAAACTCCAGAAAGGGTTGCCTGCATGAGGTCTCAGAGGGACAGGAGGAAAGATAACTCAGATGGACCACAGAAATTGCTTTAGTGTATTGTTTTACAAACTGTAGCTCCTGATTTGTTATTGGGTCATGAAACCAATTTAGTGTGCCATGAGCAGCTTTAAAAGCAGATAGAATGAGATGGAGTTGCCAACATCAGGGCTCATGGAATATAGTAAGGAATGCAGTGTCCTGAAACTCCTGTGTCACAAGCCTATGTGGGTGTGTGCTCTGGGCCTCCGGCAACATGTGTTTCTTGCCGTGAGCACAGTCACAGGTTTCTGAGAAAGGCAGGGTCAGGGGAGTGAGTGCGGGGAGAGGGCAGTGAGCGGGAGGCTGGGCAGGACTGTGGAAGTTGCGTGAGCTCCGTCCCCAGGGCCGTGGAGCCGTGAAGGGTTGGCGGGTTTTCCACAGAGAGCAGCAAGGTGAAGGCTGCGCTGCGGCGACCCCTCCCCTGCAGCTGGGCCGTGGGGTGAGGCTGCCCTGGGCCGATGGCCCCCGTGAGAGCTGACGGCAGCCCTGGGAAGGAGTAGTGGGGCTGAAATGTAAGGAGAACCCTGGGGCCACACTGATGAGCCTTTTCTCTTACTTGCTGCTTCTGGGGCCGCTCCCTGGCCTGCACAGCCTGTCCCATCAGGCCCAGTCACAGGGCCCATTCAGGACCTCAGGAGTGTTTCCTTTCATCTCTCCAGCTCCTGGAAGTTTCCATGTGGGGAGCTCAGCATCACTTTCATGATTCAAGCAGGAAGAGAGAAGCCTCCGGAATCTTCTCTAAGCAGAGGCCCCGTTTGGACTTCCCGCTCCCCTAGATGCAAAAATAGCAGAACAGCTGTAACTGATGCTTTGAGAGAACATTTCTTTAGAGCTGGTATCAAACATAAATGTTGGGCCCAGAGGGGATGTTCGGAAAGTTCGGGGTTGGAAACCTCTCCATTTTATCTCACTGAAGAATGGGCGCTCCCTGGGCTTCCCCTCAGGGGCACGGTTTGTGGGGTCTTTGTGGTGCTTGGGGCTCAGGGTAGAGGTGGGAGCAGCCAAAGTGAGCTTCCCCCCACCTTTCCTCAGAGGCTCGGCCTGGGGAAGGAAGATGGGTGATGGGCAGTCTGCTCCCGAGTGCACACGTGGGAGAGTGAATGGCAGCCCGGTGCAGTCCCTGCCGTGACCCTTCCCTCCACTGCAGCCACAGGGGCCTTCCTGCTCTTCCTGGCCCAACCGACTCCTGCCATAGCCTCTCGTGCCTGCTGTTCTTTCTGTGAGGACCATTCTACCCCAAATCATCACAAACGTCTCTGCTCCAATGTCACCCTTCCTGCAGGTGACCATCCACATGGTTTTTTCCTCCAACCTTTTCATTCCCTTCTCTTGCTTTACTTCTCCGTAGTCGCCCTGAGCCCTGCCTGAAGTGATTCACTGGTCAGTGTTGGTGGTCTTCTGTCCCCACGAGAGGACGCGCGTGTGAAGGCAGGGACCGCGTCTGTGGCTGCCTGGGCCCTGCTGCAGTTCCCGTGCTGGGCTAGTTGCAGGCCTGTGGCAAGCAAGGGGATGAATGTGGTGGTGGCCTCACCAACCGGTTGGCTCATTGGTTCGTTTTTCTTTCTACCATGTACCAGGCACATTTCCTGCTGGTGAAGGGAGTCTGGGAACCTTGGGTCATGTTCTGGGGCTTTTGGGAGGACAGCCCCTTGCAGGGGGGCATGGCATGGGTCTGCACCCCAGTGTGTTCCCCTGAGGCCGGAATTCTCTGCTCAGAGGCACCCTGCTCCCTTGGGGGCTTCTGGGTGGCCTTTAGTGGTTGGTCCTGGGGGACTGACTATTGGGGTCCAGATACCTACTGAGACCAATAGGGAAACTGCATCCAAATAGCCCTGTTTCCTATCCCACCAGTCCCAGCCTGGGGCACATTCACACTCCATTTTCTGCCCCGAGAGCTGGTTGGCAACCTCCTCCCGTGTGTTCTCAATTTCCCCTGTCGAGGCCGGGAACCTACACTTCACTTCTTGTTCCCTTGGCCATTCGTTCAGCTAGATTTGAGGCCAGTGGGATCTTTGATCACAAACTCAGATGTGTAACATGTCTCATTTTCTGTAAATCTGAGGCCCCACCCTACCAGGCTGGTAGAACCTCTGCCTCAGTAATCCTTGGGCACTGCCTCTGCTCCTGGGAGGGGTCAGGGTGCCAGGTCTCAGGCGGCACCAAGAGGTTGGCAAGGCCTGGCCACTGATCCCTGAGATGCTCGTTCTTCCAGCCACACGGTCCCCAAGTCCGTGCTCCTGCTCTTTGTTTGTTGGTTTGTTTTTTGCTGCACTTGGAGCCCCCGAGTCTCATGTCCGAAATGCCTGCTGCATAAGGGTCTGTGTTCTCACCGAGCACCCACCACATGTGTGTTTACCAAGAGAAACAGGAGCCCCCTCCTGCCCTGGGGACCAGCTTGTCCAGCTGCCATGTAAAAAGGAGAAGTGATACTTCCAGGAGCAGATCAAGTATTCACAGGACCAAGGACTCCCGCAGATGGGAGGGAAGTGAGAGCAGGGAATTTTGGAGAGATGGTGGAGGGCTCCCTGGAGGAGGCAGTGGAGACCGTGTACTTGGAAGGTGGGCTGATGGAGAGTTCTCTTTGGGGAAAGATGGATCCCCATGCCAGTATGATGCCCAGCGTGAGGTGCATGTGCTGGGAGGAAGAGCCAGCTGAACTGCTGAACTCGGAGGCCGTGGAAAAGCGCACCTGCCTCGGTGCTCTCCCCTGCTGCCGGCCAGGCCTGACCAAGCTGGGTTTGGGTGCTGCAGGCCCTGGATGGAAGTGCCTCTTTCTGAGCAGTGTGGCTTTGAAATGTGATACAACAGGTTCACCTGTCACAGGCCTGAGCGGTTCCTCAGCTGTGCCGCCCGCTCAGCTCATGCTGCGCAGGGGCCACCTCAGAGGTTAACCCTGGAGCAAATGAATCCGGAGTCCCTGAGACGGCAGGTGCTTTTGATAGTGCTCAGCCCGGTCTCAGTGGTTCCCGGAACCGACCAACACCTCTCAAGGCAGCGGCGTCTCTGGACAGTGTTTTGAAAAGGGTTCAATCCTATTTCAATGATGGCATTTTGAGTATTTTTCACATTCTGTACCCTGTGTCTTCCTTTTTATTTTCTGTAGGAAAAGGGAAAATGTGAATTAAAATATCCTGGAAAAGTCTAGGCATACATATTAAAACATTTGGCTGCTAGTTGAAAGGAATCTATGTCTGTGTTTCCTCTTTGTTGCGGAAACTTGCTGTGGTCCTGGTGGAGGTGGTTTTTCCAGGCCTCAGAAGATGTCCTTCTTGGGGCTTTCTCCCTCTCTCTCTAGCTCCTCCTCTGTCCCTTCACTCTGCTCCCACCCCTGTGTCTGGTGGTCTCAGAAAGACGTGCCCATCATCTGCAAAGGAGGCGGGTGGGACTCCAATGCCCATGGGGCCCAGCAGGTAAATCAATGAGTGACGTATGCTGGGGGCCTGGAGTGGACTGGAGGGGACGTGTCTGTCTGGAAGGACCGTGACTACTGTGCCGGCTGAGGGTTGCCACAGGAATACAGATGCTTGTAGCCAGGGTCCCAAGTTTTCCAGGGAAGCTGGAATCCAGATTTTAAGGTGAAATTTTTTTATCTAAAAAGGTAGGCAGCTAAAAAAAAAAAAAAAAACAACCCCACTGGGTGGATGGAATAAAACTCACATACCAGAGTCGGCCCATCGGCTACCAGTTTGTAGCCTCTGCCATAGCTGTGTCAGGTTCTCCTGGCCCAGGACAAGCTGGGTTGCCTCCCTGTATAGGGAGTTAGTTCTCTGTGCCCCCAGACCTGCTTGGGTCAGCAGCTGTCTCTTCTAGAGATGGTTTAGTTTGACAGAGTGACTTTGTCTTATGGAGGGAAGAGTCTCAGCAGGATCTGCATTTTTGTTTACACTTTGGAGCTGAGTGACCTTGTGCGAGTCACTTGGGTCCCATGGGTCTCAGTTCCTCGATTATTTCAAATAAGGAAAATTATATCTGAATTTCCTGCTAGGTTCCTTGTGAGGCAGAAGTATAACATCCATGACCATGATTTGACAAGTACAAATGCCAGTCGCTGGTCTTATTTTGTGTGACAGGCATGTGGTGTGAAGGGATCATGGATTTGAAGAGGACAGTCTGCTTCGTGCCTGTCCAGATTCCTGCCTGGTTCCTACACCCACGGAATGGGAGCCTCGGGCTTTCTGTCTGCATCTGTCAGCGTGGTTCCCAGATCAGGAAGGAAGGCAGGAGGGGGCGGCAGGAGGTGGAGGCTGGGTACAGCAGATCTCTTCAGACGCCCCTGTGCTGTCTGGCTCAGAGCATTCTTGAAAATTGGTGAGTTCACTAGTTTGTTTAAATAGAATATTTAAAAATAAGAACATGATGCAGGATAGTGTTTCTCAAACTGGTGTTCAAAGGCACACTACTCTCCCTAGGGCGTTGAAAGGAGTGAGAAAGGGGTTTCACACTGAGGTCAGCTGACACATGTTGGAGTGAAGTTCAGTGAGTTGCTTGCAGGACTCCTCAGAATTTTAAAAACACTATGCTGATGTGTATTGTGAGGTTAGAGCAAAGTGTTTCTCAAACCTTTGTTCACTGAATACATGTGAACATTTCCTTAGATCGTTTGAGTGATGCTGACCCAGGTCAGTGAGGCAGTTCTTCACCCCACATGTTTGTGCTGTGTGCCAAGCGAGGGCAGGCATGGGATAGAGTGGCGAGTGAAAGCCGACCCGCCGCAGCCCTGCCCTTGTGTTGCTGGCCGTCTAGAGGGGCACCCGGCATGCATCACGTGAGCTTATTCCTGGGGTAAATGTACAACAGGACCGAGCTTGCCCAGGGAGGATATGGTGCCCTGGGGGTGGCCCATCTGTGGGGTGGCTCAGAGGGAGAGTGAGAGGGGGAGGGGTTGTGAAGGATGCGGAGGCACCAACCAGCCTGAGAGGCCACAAGTCAGCCCCGTGGGCCCTGCCTGGCAGTGGAGAGAGGGTCAGTATGGCCAGAGCAGGGGGAGGGCTGGAGGGAGCCCGATGGAGATGATGAAGCCTCCCTCAGCCCTGACCTGGTGGGGCCATCGCCTGAGGTGACCGAGTGTGAGGGGCCCTGGAGAGTGTCTACACAGGCTGCTTCCCTTTCCCACCCCATCGCAGACCTCCCTGGACTGAGCACAGGAACGAGGAATAAACTCTGGCTGCCCGGGCAGTACTTCACTTGCTGCCGCGTCTGGCCCCTGACCTGTGGGTGCAGTCAGCCTTCCAGCAGATGTGATTTCCCCAGGGCCGGGCGCTGCTGCCTGCGGGGAGCCTGAGGACCGACCCCAGAGGCTGGCTCAGTTTGCCCGAGGTTCTCCTTGCTTTTCTTTGCCCTGGAATCAAGAATCTGTTGATCGTGCCTCCTCAGGGACTAACATTCTCCTGAATTTCATATTCTTCGGAGTATAAACCCTGCCAGCACAGCATCAATGTCCTCCATCCATTCAAAACCCACTGAGTGAATATGTATTGAGTGTTCTGCTGTGCGGGAGAGGTAGAGGGTGAACAAGACAGTTGGGATCCCTGCTCTCACCAGGCTCTCCTTCGGGGGGAGGGGTGGGGTGGTCAGTTAAACAGGGCCCAGGAGAGTGAGGGTGGTGGGAGCACCTGGCCTCATTCCGAGGGAGCCGGGGAAGGCTCCTGGGGGGGATGCTAAGGGGAGACCTGGAGAAGGAGGATGTGCTAGCAGGGTGAAGCCAGGGACAAGAGAAGAGGGGACAGGGTGCAGTTCTAGAGAGGGTCACAGGGCTCAGTCATGTGGCTGGGGTGGGCCCAGGGCTGACAAGGATACTTTGTAAGATTTCACTTTTCCTTGCTCTTCTGGAGAAGCTCCCCCAGAATTTGTGGGGGAGGCCTGAGAGGCCTTGGTCATAGTAATCCAATGCAATCCTGTTTCTCTTCCGAGCACATCTATATTAGGGGATTGTTATACTTGGCAGTGTAAGAAATTGCAGGAAGTGATTATTGCAAATTCTCAGAGCTTCTGTGCCTCTAAGAAGCCTCTGCATGGACACCCTGAGCCCTGTCCTGATGAGTGCATATAACTGCAATGACAAGGGACAACTTTTATTCATTTAACAAGAGGGATGGGGGTAGCGGGTATATATTGGCTGCAGTGACCTTTCATGGTAAGCAGAGATATAGATGCCAGTGTGGAAACAATTATCTCAAGTGCCCACGGGTACCAGCTTCCTGTTGATAACATGTGGTGCTAATTACCGGGAAGGATTCAGGGCAGATGTTGGCGTCTGAAATTAATTGGCCAGCAGAAGGGCTGAGCCTGGCTCAAGACCCGAAAAATGCTGGGGCAGCTCCACCTTCTCACTTCCCCCTTCACGACTGCAGCCGCGGTTCCTCTCCTCCAGACGCTGTGCTTTACTGCACTCTCATAACCTTCTCAGGGAACCCAAGCTGCGATCGGCTGACTAGTCGCCCTCTCTGTTTACAGCCTTCTAGACCTTCAGGAAGGAACAGGATGGCCAGTTCATCAAAATACTCCGTGTGGAAAGGTCAGCCTGGTGGCACTCCTACTGTCTATTTCCCCAGAATGGGGAGTATTAACAGCCTGCCTCCATGTTCCTGTCAGCATTGCCACGTGGAACCCTGTGGTCAAGAAACTGCATCAGTGCTATGGATCCCTGATGACTGTGATTTTAGTTGGAGACTAATGGTGCCTCGTCTGGTCCCATTTCTCCTTCTTCCTATTGGACGACTTATCTGGAAAACTGTGCGATGACCTTGGAGCATGCTCAGTGCCGTGAGCTTCCAGTCTTGGCTCTCTGCACTCTGTTCTTTCACAACAACTTGTTACAGGTGTAAATGCTTATGACAGTGTTCATTAACCTTCATCTGGGGTCACATTGTGCCAAGCCCGCACCAAGTATGGCACATGCACCATCTCATTTAATCCCCATAACAACTTCAGAGGCTTATTATGCCCCTTTACAGACAGGGATGCTGAAGTCCAGAAGGGTTAACATACCCAGGCCACCCAGCTAGTCAGTGAGACAGCAGGACTTGAACTCAGGGAGTCTGACTCCAGAGCCACCTTTGTATCATTTTCTAACCCCCTCCCCACCACCAGATCCTGAGTTCCATGAAGATGGAGACAGCACCTGTCTTGTTCATCTCAATACCTCAGTTCCTAATGGAAGCCAAGCAGATAGGGAGGCTCAGTAAGTGTTAAGTGAGTAAACGAACTTAAACCCCAAACCTTGCTTTGGTGTAAGAGCAGGAAAGGCATGTCCAAGGCACAGGATCAGGGCTGAGAGGATTTGCTGTGTTTTGTAGACATAGTCTGGAGGGCTGACGTGTGTGAGGGACCAGGCAGAACGGTGGTGGTGGGTTTGCCACTCTTGTAGAATCAAATGAAAACGGCTTTATTTAGTCAAGGAAAGCTTACTTTTTAAGAATGAAGAAATGTTCCAGTTAAAGGTAGTGAACCTTGTGGACCATTTGTATCGTTTGTTATTTTCCAAAATCTTTAGCTTTGAAAACTCAGTTCATAATAGCAAACTAACCAAAAATGAGAGAAAACTCTAGACATAGTCATTCGCTTTTCAAACGTCCTTAGAGAATCTTGCACGCTGAGTCGTGTGTGTGCACGTGTGCATGTGTGTGAGCATCTCCATTGCTGCTAGCACATTAAATGGTCTGCAGTGAGTGCTTCTCATTTCTACCATGGAAAGTTGTTTCCTGTTGAAAAGTAAATTGTATAAGCAAAACAGAAAGGCATGAAGGATAAAGTAAAAATCACTTGAAAACATACCACCTAGAGCTAATTAGATAATTTGAGGAACATCCTTTCAATTTTGTGTATGTGTAAAATACAATTTTATAGAGAGCAGAAAACTGTAAATACTGTTTTGCAGTCTGAGTTTTTTCCCTATTTAATATAGTGTGCAGATCTTCCCATGCCAATGAAGATGGTGTTACATCACTCTTTTTAACGTCTATGTAGGACTCTATTGTATGGCCATTTCGTGATTAATATAACCTGTCCCTTATGATGTATACTTACCCACATTCATATGGCACTATAATTATCCATTTAATCATCTTTCTCTCCCTGGAGGCTGTGAGCTCATTGCAAACAGGGAAATTGCTAAATTCACAAGCATCCAATAGGTGTCCAATAAATTATGAATGGATGGATGAGTGAATGAGAAGGAGAGGAAGAGGTTTTGTTTTGTCATTGCTGTGGTCCATTTCCAGTGAAACTTATGTTCTGAACGACAGCCTGCTAACCCAGGGCTGGTGAGGGCATTTTAGCAGGTATACAGCTGGGCTTCTGCCGTTCTTTGGTGTCTCGGGTTTACATCCAGGTGCCATAAGGAAGTATTTATGATACCAATTAGCTTAAATTCTGCTCTTCTTGAAGGAAAGTCCTTGGTTTCTTAGCCCTGTGGTTTCCTTTCTATGCAGTGACATCCTCTCCTCTGCTCATCTATTCCAACGCCACATTGGCTGGCCAGGGGGGATACCTCTTACACACTTAGGAAAGCAAGACTCGATTTTTCCAGGGGAGGGGGCAGTGTTAGGCATAATGAATCCCTCCTCTTGTCTTTTCCTAAAGTTACGAACCAGATGCCTCAGCCCCATTCCAGCAGTATAGACTGAGCTGAAAATGAAGATGAAAAACCAAATCTCCATGATCATAAAAAATAAACTTAAAATTCTAGATGATTGTTTCTGGAGAGAGTGAAAGATATTTTTAAGCTGGGGTTCTTAACTGGGGGTATACCAATAGGGGGCATATGGATCCCTTTATCTTCTCTGCTAATCTCTTGAAATAGTATACAGGACTTTGTATTATGTATGATATATATTAAATTATATATGCATATATATTATATTTGTATTATAACTTTTAAGCATGTGTGTTTTTCTGGTCTAGGGGTTTATAGTGCTTTTCAGATTCTCAGAGGGTTTGAGACCTCAGAGTTTTAGAACCTGTATTTTGGAGGAAAAGTAATTTAAGTTCACAAACCTCATTTTTCTTATCTATAAAATGGAGTGAAAACTCCTATCTCATGGAGTTATGTGAAAATTTGTAAAAAAGAATATAAACTGCCTGGCTCAGGTGTCCAGTAAATGGCCACTTGTTACTGATACTCACAAGGTAATAGAGCAGGACCTTTCTCTGCTCACGGGTGACTGTCCAGCACCACTGTGTGTGTGTGTGTGTGTGTGTGTGTGTAGGGGCTGTGACCAGAGATGTACTTTCACAGTCTTGCTTTGTTTGCCCCAACAAACAAAGTGGTGGTCCCATGGATGAGAGAGAGGGAGGGAAGAAGGAGGAGAAGGGGGATGAGGAGGAAAAAGAAAAAGGAAGAAGAGGATGAGGCAGGAGGAGGAGGAGAAGGAAAAGGAAGAAGGAGGAGGAGGAGGAGGAGAAGGAAGAGGAGGAAGAAAAAGGAAAGAAAAGAAATAGAGGAAGAAGAAGGAGGAGGAAGGGGAAAGGAGGGAGAGGGGATGGGGGAAGTGGAGGAGAAGGAGAAAAAAGAAAAAGAATGAAGAAGAGGACAAGGCAGGAGGAGGAAGAGGAGGAGGAAGGGGGAGCAAGAAGGAGGAGGTGAAAGAGAAGGGAGGAGGAGGAGAAAAAAAGAAAAAAAGAAGAAGGAGGAGGGGGAGGGGGGAGGGGGAGAGGAGGAGGAGGGGAGAGGAGGAGGAGCCTGAAAGACAGTTAGGGATGTCTTATTGTCTGGGCATGAAGTTGCAGTACTGGGGCTGGAGAAAGCAGAAGCCAGCAGGAAAGACTCATTAGGATTTGTGACTGGGAATGGAGTTGGAAGAGGAGTTAAGAGGATTTTGAGGGTCTGTTTTCCTCTGGGGAGAATGACAATTTTGCAGGAAGGGTTCAGTTTACCTATATTGAACCTAGGGAGAGATGGGCCATCTGAATGGAAATGTAGGTCTTATAGGAAATATAGGTCTTAGAGACATAACACTTTAGAAACCTTTAATTTTTGATTTGCATGAATTATAATTTATGGGGCTTTTTGGTTTTTGCTTGAAAGAAGGGAGCTGACTTCTGGGTGGAGAGAAAATACGGAGCAGAGTGAGAAGGGGAGGACAAGGCCGGGAGAGGGAATGCTCTGGTGTCCCCTACCAGCCCCTTCACTTGAGGGCGAGAGGGCTTAGAGCTGAAGGCGAAGATGCCATTTTCACAAAGGACTTCATGAGCCATGGTGGTGCTGGAGGATGCTCTGGTGCCCACATGACAGAGTGACGCAGGTTCCTGGAGAGGGCTTTCTTCCACGTGGATATGGAAGGTGTAACTCTGTGAGCTTTGGGGCGTCAGGAGAGAGCACTTTGGGCATCGATGTTGGCATGGATTGGTGTGGTCTGATGAGCATTATCAGAAGCCACAGGATGAGGCTTTCTTATTGCAGTGTAAGGGGAGGACAGTGATAAGGCAGAGGAGGGACAGGGCCTACACAGTAGCTGCAGATGATACACGGGCCTATGAGCCTTTAAGGGGTGCTCCTCAGGGACTGTTAGGGGATGGAGGATCTCCAGGGACTAGAGGACTTTTGTAAGCAGATGGGGCAAGAATAGGGAGCTTGAATTTTTGAGGTCCATGTGCCTTCATTTCCACCTACAGGCTGGAGAGGCCAGGGGATTTTTGGATAATGAAAGTGGCTATCTGAATGTCGAATTCAAGGAAGCTCAATTCAAGAGTTTGGGGGCTCAGTTGATAACTTTATTCCTTGTTCTTAGCTTTTCAGTCCTTTGGAAATTGATCTTTCTCTCTTCTCTCTCTCTCCCCCTCAGAGCTAGAAAAAGCAGAGGATCATTAGCCTCCCAGTCTTTCTGTGCCCACTGATACAGACCCATCTCTTGGGGCTTCATTGCCTCACAGTCTTCCTCAGGTATGAGTGTGTGTTCTGTTTTCCTGGAGTGTGACTTTGTGGGTAGAAGCATCTGGAAGCCCTCTGTTGAGAAGGTGCCCTGACGAGGGCCGGGGATGGAACCGCAACTGAGGTACGTGCCCTTGACCAGAATCGAATTCGTGACTCTGGTCTGAGGGCTGACGCTCTAACCAGTGAGCCAAACTAGCCAGGGCTGATTTTCCATTTTTTAGTATATTTACCCTAATTTTTAATTTTTTTTAAAGGTTAAATTCTCAGGTGTGAGATTAATAGATCAGATTGTACAGTTTTTTTTTTTTCCCCTAAACTTTTTTTTGAAGCTAATTTCTTTGACAATACCAATTGTTGAGGACGGAGGAACTAGAACTCTCACATATTGCTTGTGAAAATGTAAAATGGTACCATCTCTTTAGAGAATAGTTTGGTAGTTTCTTAAAAAGCTAAACATGCACCTACACTATGACCCAGCCATTATTCCTAGGTATTTACTCAAGAAAAAGGAAATATATGTCTACACCAATACTTGTACACGCACGTTAATAGCAGCTTTATTTATAATAGCCTAAATTTCAAAATAGCCCAAATCCCTTCAACTGGAAAATGGATAAACAAATTGTGGTATATCCATGTAATAAAATACTACTTAGCAATGAAAGGAAAGAAACTATTTCTACTTGCAAAAACATGATGAATCTTAAAATCACGATGCTGAATGAAGCCAGCCAATAAAAGAGCACATGCTATATATTTGCATTTATATAAAATTCTAAAAAGTGCAAATCTCTAGTGACAGAGAGCACATCAATGGTCGTCTGGGAATGGGGAGTAGGTGGTAGGGAGAGTTTACAAAGGGACACAGGAACCTTTGGGGGAGTGATGCCTATGTTCACTGTCTTGGTTGTGGTGATGGTTCCACAGGTATACACATCTGCCAAAGTACATCAGTAGTACACTTCAAATACGTGTAGTTTATTATACAGATAAAACTATTTTTTTTTTAAAAAAAGACCTTGTTACATATGGCCATATTTCTTTCTAGGAACACAGTGCCAGTTTATCCTTCAACTAAAAGTATGTAAATGCTTTTCTCACTGGATTCTTGACATTATTCAGTCTTATAAATTTTAACCATCTCTGACCAGTTGGATATTACCTAGCTGTTCAATTTTATACATGTTTGGTTGCTGGTGAGTTTGAACTTTTTTTATTTATTTATTTTCTTTATCCTCACCTGAGGACATGCCTCCATTTTTTGTTCAGATAGAGTGGGAGGGAGAGAGAAGAAGAAAGAGAGAAAGAAACATTGACATGAAAGGGACACATCTAGTGGCCGCCTCCCGCACGACCCAACCAGGGCCAGGGACAAACTGCAACCAAGGTACGTGCCCTTAGCGGGAACTGAACCTGGGTCTCTCTGGACCGCAGGTCAACGCTCTAACCGCTGAGCCAAACCGGCCAGGGCATGAGTTTGAACTTTTAAAATTGTGTATTGGTTAATTTTCCTACTGAGCCTTTTTTGTGCACATCCTTTATTACTTTGGGGCTCTCTTGGTAGAGAATTTTTGACACAGGACTTTTTCAAAGTTCTATGGTCAAATCAATTGAGTGCTTTCTTTATGTTTTCCCACCTTCTTAATTTCCAACTATTAATTCTGGAAAAGTGGGTCATCAAGCTTCTGAAGACTTCTTACTAGATGAGGGTCACTGAGGCTGTAGTGTGGGCCTGTTGAAGAACTCTTTTGAATGTAAAAATCATTGTGGGCCCCTACATGGCAGAGATTATACCTTTAGGGTCTGTTTATGGAGACTGTATAATGACAAAAACTGCAAATTAAGTTATTGGTAATATGAATTGGCATTATATTAATCATCATAGCACGCACATACATTTGAGAAACAGTGTACCTATTGTGAAGCATGTCTTCTGTCTACAGACAAAGTTTGGTGTGCATGTGGATGTTTGATTCCCCTGTAATAATTTTAAGGACCTCAGGTTTGGGAGCCCCCCACTGGAAACTGTATCTTAGTAGGTAGAGCAGGGACCCAGACCTTTTGCATGTGCTGAAACCCGCCCCTTTCTCTTAGCTCTCTTTGGCTGGGAATTTTGAGAATGTGAGCTTAGGGCTCTGGGAAGCCTGAATCTGGGATAAGTGGGAGAATTATTAGGCTTTAAAAAAAATTTTGTCTCCAACCCACCTTTTTCAATTTTGAAAGAATGTCTTATTCAAGTAACCCTGGATTGTGTGAGAAAGACATTGACCGTACTCTCCGCAGCCGTTTTCTTTCCAAATGAAAGTGTCTTCACCCAGAATAATCTTGGCCCCTTTGTCATTTTCTCACAGGGAACTCAGAACGTACCTGTTTAAACGATATGATGTCTGTGAAGCGCCTAGCACGGGACCTGTCCTACAGCTCATGCCCAAAGACTGTTTCTCTCCTTCCTCCTCTGTTTGACAGCAGGTTCCAAGCTCACTTGAAAATGTAGCATTGATCCCACAGCAAATATGTTTTGGCTTAGTGATGAGTCCACTCAAAAGAAGAGAGAAAATTATCTAACTTATTGAAATACTTTAATCCATGAACTCACATAAATATTGTTTTGAACTAATAGTTTTATATACTGTGGCATCTGTGTTCCATCTTTTGGGTGGTTAATGTCTCTTGCTGTCATGTACTTAAAAATGTCAGACTTTCGGTATTTTCTTTTATGTTAAACTTGCAATGGAGTGTTGGATTCCTTGGTTCATTTTTAAAAAGCCCTTTATCAAAATGTTAGCTTGGTTAATTTGCATAAAATATTTCCTCGGCAATTTACTCTGTATTACTTTTGAAACGCAAATTGCCTCTGCTGCAGTGTGGGATGGCTGTAGGTTGTAACAGCATGTCAGCTATGACAGCTTTCGATTCCTGGGATGAACCAGTCTCAGGTTTGAAGCTCAAGCAAATAAATTGGAATCTTGCCTCGCCTCACTCTCTTGGGTGATCTGAACTCATATGAAGAAGAAAAGGAAGAAAAGGAAGCAGGGGTCACAAAGAAAAGGTTCAAAGGCCTAGGTTAAGAATTTAGAAGTATGTGGTTGGGAGCTGGGTGTGGCTGTGGGCTCTCTGGTGTGTGCTCAGGGGGTGGGGGAGGAAGAAGCGCTTTGGGGTGTCTCCAGGAAGAGGATCAGTGACAGCAAATCTAATGAACATACACAACACAGCCAGGTTCTGCCTAGGACACTGCTCCCATCCACCATTCCTTTGCTCCACAGCCTTGACTCCCTCCCTCCCAGCCTGGAATCAGCTCTGCATTTCAAACAGGGAATTGACTTAGCTGGTGGAAGTCAATCCTGAAGGAAAAGAACAAGCTTCAATGCATCAAGTAGGCTGTCAGGAAATCAGAGGCAGAGAGACTTTTCTGGGAGGGTCCTGCCTTTGCCTGGAGACCCCAACTTCAAACCTGGGTGTTGACACCTTCCCCTCCAGTGCAGGGCAGCAGAGTAGAGCTTGTCTGTCCTTAGTAACAACTTCCCGTTAAAGCAAAGCTGTTCAGTCTGAAAAACACTGATAGTCACAAATAGCAGATGGGCAGGCCAGGCTGCAATTAGGCAGCTGCTAGCTCCTCACACTCCCATTTTCTTAGAAAGGGCAAGACTCACAGGAGAGAGGGAGGGCTTCCTTGTTGGAGAAGAATCTTTCCTTTGCACAGGAGAAGCTCTTTCCTTGACTCACCCTAGGCCTTTTCTGAAAGCTAGAAGGGGCCAATGTTAGTAGAAGCAAATGAATGTATTCGACGAAAGATGGGATTTGTGTGCAAGGAGATGGAGTTATATTTAGACCTATGTAATTAAAGATCCATTCATGACTGAGCATCCTTAAACAGACAAACATAAAACTCATGAATACCAAATTCTACCTGGATAAGTGGCTGGAAGCGCGCACACTCACACACACACACTCTGAGACTGTTTATTCAAGTAGAAGGAAAAGCCACCATCAGTCTCCACTCAGGTCTGATGAATTTCAAGCCTCACTACTTAGGGCTATAATAAAGAACCTTGTATTTTTGGCTTAAAAAACACACACACACTTGTGTGTGTGTAGCCATTTTAGCAGCTGTGAGCTGATACCTCATTGTAGTTATAATTTACATCTCTCTGATGATCGTGACATTGAGCATTTTTTCCTATGTCTCTTGGACATTTGTATGTCCTCTTTGAAGAAGTGTCTATTCAGGTCCTTTGTCCATTTTGTAATTGAATTGTTTGTCAATATATATATTATTGTTGACAATATTACAGATGTCCCCAGTTTTCTCCCCCTTTATTCTCCTGCAACCAACCCCTTCCCCATGCCAGGCCTTCATCGCACTATTGTCTTTGTCCATGGGCTATCCATGTATGTGTATAAGTTCTTTAGTTACTCTCTTACCATGCCCCTCCTCTTCCCCGCCCCACGTCCCTCTGAGATCTGTCAGTCTTTTCCATGCATCCATGCCTCTGGACCTATTCTGTTCGTCAGTTCATTTTGCTCATTAGATTCTATATATAAGTGAGATCATATGATATTTGTCTTTCTCTGACTGGTTTATTTCAGTAAGCAAAATCCTCTCCAGATCCATTCATGCTGTCACAAAGGGTAAGACACCTTCTTTTTTACAGGAATACAATAGTATTCCATTGTATACCACTACTGTTTTATCCACTCATCTACTAATGGGCATTTGGGCCGTTTCCGGATGTTAGCTATGTAAATAACGCTGCTATGAACACGGGTGCATATATTCTTTCTGATTAGTGGTTCAGAATTCTTACACTATATTCCTAGAAGTGGGATTGCTAGGTCAAATGGCAGTTCCATTTTTAATTTTTTGAGTAAACTCCATACTGTTTTCAATAATGGCTGCACCAGTCTGCATTCCCACCAGCAGTGTGCTAGGGTTCCCTTTTCTCCACATCCTTGTCAGCACTTATTGTTGTTTGTTGATTTATTGATGGTAGCCATTTTAGCAGGTGTGAGGTGATACCTCATTGTAGTTTTAATTTACATCTCTCTAATGATCGTGACATTGAGCATTTTTTCCTATGTCTCTTGGACATTTGTATGTCCTCTTTGAAGAAGTGTCTATTCAGGTTCTTTGCCCATTTTATTTAATTGAATTGTTTGTCATCTTTTTGTTGAGTTGTATGAGTACTCTATATATTTTGGAAATTAATTCCTTATCAGATGTATCAGTGGCAAATCTGTTATCCCACACAGTGGATTCCCTTTTCATTCTGATGCTGGTTTCTTTTGCTGTGCAGAAACCTTTTAGTATGATGTTTTTTTTGTTGTTTTTTTCTTTTGTTTCTCTTGCTCTAGGAGATGTATTAGCAAAAACTCTGCTATGTGAGATGTCTGAGATTTTGCTGCCTATGTTTTCTTCTAGGATTGTTATGGTTTTCTGACTTATATTTTTTTTTCTTTTTTTTTATCCTCACCCGAGGACATTTTTCCATTTTTTTTGTTCAGACAGAATGGGAGGGAGAGAGAGGAAGAGAGAGAGAAACATCAATGTGAAAGGGACACATTGAGTGGCTGCCAGGGCCAGGGACAAACTGCAACAGAGGTATGTGCCCTTAGCGGGAACCAAACCGGGTCTCTCTGGACCGCAGGCTGACGCTCTAACCATTGAGCAAAACTGGCCAGGGCGGTTTTGTGACTTATATTTAAGTCTCTTATCTGTTTTGAGTTTATTCTTTTGTATGGTGTATGTTGGTGGTCTAGTTTCATTCATTTGCATGTACCTTTCCAATTTTTGAAGAGAGCGTCTTTATTATATGTTCTTGCTTCCTTTGTCAAATATTAGCTAATCATAATGGCATGGGTCATTTTCTGGGGTCTCTATTCTGTCCAGTGATCTATATGCCTGTTGTTGTGCCAACATGAGATTAGATTAAACATTAGATTAAAATGGCTTTGTAGTATAGCTTGCTATTAGGTATTGTGATCCCTCCAACTTTGTTCTTCTTTCTCAAGGTTGCTGTGAATATTCAGGATCACTTTTGGTTTCATACAAATTTTTGGAGTATTTGTTCTAGATATGTGAAATATGCCATAGGCATTTTAATGGAGAGTGCATTGAATCTACAGATTGCTTTGGGCAGTATGGACATTTTAATGATGTTAATTCTTCCAATCCATGAACATGGTATATACTTCCACTTGTTTGTATTTTCCTCTATTTCTTTTTTCAATGTCCTATAGTACCTTCTTGGTTAAGTTTATTCCTAGGTATGTTATTTTTTTGTTGCAATGGTAAATGGAATTTTTAAAAATTTCTCTTTCTGAGAGTTTATTATTGGTGTATAAAAATGGCATCAATTTCTTGATATTGATTTTTTTATCCTGGTCTTTGCCAAATTTATTTATTAAATCTAGTAGTTTTTTTGTGGAGTCTTTAAGATTTTCTGTGTATAATATCATGTCATCTGTGAATAATGACAGTTTTACTTTCTCCTTTCCAATTTGGATGCCTTATATTTTTTCTTCTTGTCTGATTGCTGTGGCGAAGACTTCCAGTCCTATGTTGAATAAGAGTGGTGAAAGTGGACATCCCTGGCTTGTTCTTGTTTTTAAGGGAAACACACTTAGTTTTTGCCCAATCAGTATAATGTTGGCTATAAGTGTGTCATATATGGCCTTTATTATGTTGAGGTATGAGCCCTTTACTCACACTTTGGCAAGTATTTTTTTTTTTCTTTCTTTAATCAAAAATGGGTGCTGCCCTGGCTGGTTTGGCTCAGCAGTTAGAGCATTGGCCCACAAACCAGAGAGTTCCGGGTTCGGTTCCTGCTAAGGGAATGTAACTCAGTTGCAGTTTCTCCCCGGCCACTGTTGGGGCCGGGAGGGTGGCGACCACTCGATGTGTCTCTGTCATGTTGTTGTTTCTCTCTCTCTTTCCCCCTCTCTCCCTCCTGCTCTAATCTGAAGATAAGTGCAAAAAATGTCCTCAGGTAGAGATAAAAAAAAAAGGGTGCTGATTTTGTCAAATGTGTTTTCTGCATCTATTGGTGTGATCATATGATTCATTCCCTTCATTTTGTTTATGTGATGTATCATTTTTTTATTAATTAATTTTTGTTACAGATGTTTCTCCTTTTCCCCCCACTGATGTATCATTTTTAAAAAAATCCTCACCCAAGGATATTTTTTTATTTATATTCAGATAGAGTGGGAGGGAGGGGTAGAGAGGAAGAGAGAGAAACATTGATGTGAGAGGGACACATCGACTGATTGCCTTCCTGGCAACCTTGACCAAGGCTGGGGATGAACTGCGACAGAGGCACATGCCCTTGACCAGAATTGAACCTGTGACTCTTTGGTCCATGGGCCGATGCTCTAACTGCTGAGCCAAACCAGCCAGGGCAAAAATTATTTAATTTTTAAATCATATATATATATCTCTATATATAATTTTTATTTACTCAAATTTATTTATTTTTAAATTGAGATATAATTGACAGAGAACATTACATTAGTTTCAGGTATACAACATAATGATTCAGTATTTGTATACATTGCAAAGTGATCATCAAAATAAGTCTAGTTAACATTCATTACCATACATAGTTACAATAAAATTATTTTTTCTTTTGATGAGAACTTTTAAGATCTATTCTCTTAGCAACTTTGAATATGCAATACTGTATTGTAAACCATAATTACCATGCTGTACATGACATTCCCATGACTTACCTATTTTATAAGTGGAAATTTGTACCTTTTTTCACCCATTTTATCCACACCAGTATTGTCTTTTCTGTTTTTGATTTCTGCTTTTATTTTCATTATTTCCTTCCTTCTGCTTACTATGGGCTTAATTTACTCCTCTTTTTCTAGTTTTTAAAGATAGATGCTTACATCATTGATTTAAGACTTTCATCTTTTTTTTTTATATACTACTGATTTGGAAAGTTTTCATGTAATTTTTTTTTTTAATT